CTGTTTTTGTGGAATTTTCATAGAAAAAAGTATTACACTTTGGAATATTTTTGAGTAGTGTTCTCGTGGAACAAGTTATTTTACGTTTAATTAAAAATCCATTTTTATATTCGAGTAATATTCATTGAAATTTGAGAACCTTTTTTTAATACTACCAATTACCCGAAAAATTTTTATTTTTATATTTTCTATAAGTTCTATTCTGTCTGAAACTTTTATTTCTAAGAACATTTATTTCTCATATCGGAACTTGCAATGTAAGAACATTTGTCTTCAAAAATTCTACGAATCCATGTTTCAAATAGAAAGTTAAAAATTCCTCGTCTTTTCTGATCTTTGATTAAAAAGAAGATTTTCAACGCGAATGGCGTAATATCGTTAGACAAAAACTGCAAACATTTGCAAAAATTAACTGTTACAGCGTAGTCTATTTCACTCCATCGTGACTTTTAAACCAAAATACAAAAATTACCCTAACTTCTTTGTAATATCTTTACATACAACGATAATTGATACGTTGGTAAAATTTGTTTCTAATGTATAAAACTAACGTGTACAATATCAATTTTTTATAATTAGTTGTGTAAAAAAATTAAGTCTCTTAGCCACCGTAATATAAAACACATAAAATACATTCGCGTGGCAGTTAAACGAACCTTACACTTTCCCACAGCAGCCTCCGCCGACACCGTAACAATCGATCTTCGCGTTAAAGCTTCCTGCACGACGAAAGTATTGCGCGGGACATCTGGAATGGCGATGGCAGCATTGTTCGCCAAACTCCACTCTCGAATGAAAACGAGACGCAAGTTTATACAGTGTATCAACAACGACCAGGGGCAAATTTACGTGGCCGTAAAGTTTCGCCTGGTAAGTTCGCGCGAGAGTTTGACGCGCCAGGGTAAAAATTGCCGCACGGCTACGTGATGAAAATCCGTAACGAGGCTTAGGGAACACGTAGGGAGAAAGAGTTGACCGAGGTGAAGGGAAGAGGGTAAAATCGAGCACGGATGGAGGAGAGAGAGAAAGAGAGAGAGTGAGAGAGAGAGAGCCTGCAAAGCCAGGCTAGGATGCGGCAGTGTTTTAAAATCGAAACGGAAATTCAGCGGAGCTCCGCGTCCATCGCCATTGCAGCAGTGCTTGCTAATAATAGAGTAGATACTGGAAGGATAGAAATACGACTTCCTCTCCGCCGCTGTTCACTCTCTCTCTCTCTGTACCCTACTGCGTCCCAAGAATAACGGGGCTCTCTCGGCTCGATACGAGATCGGCGAAAATAAAGGGTCAGGGGCGGCAGCCCAATTCAAACATTCGATACAGCCGGCAAACGAGAAGGAGGCATCACGCGGTACGCGACCGGATGCGGATACGGATTTACTCCTGAATTTTTTTTTTTTTTTCTTTTTTTCTCCCCCAACCAGACATCTCTCCTGGTATTTTCTTCTTTTTTTCTTTTTTTTTTACCGGTCGGATCATTTTCCCGAAATGGAATTTTTCTTTCTTTTTTCTTTGTGAAAATAAATTGGAACGACTAACGATGTCGAGGGGATTTCTTCGCTAAACGGGGCACTTGAAATGTGTATTCGCGCAACTTCGTTGGCAATTTTTTTCTTTTTTTTTTTTTTCGGAGGGACTAGCGAAATGTTTTCACTCCGCGACGGAGGTTAAATCGAAACACGGCGTATAAAAATAATATGGAGTGGAGATTCGTTTCTTCGTTACGAATGCTCCAATAAATTAAATTTCCAAACTGGAGTGAATAATTTATTTACACGCAGGCTTCTCTCTCTCTCTCTCTCTCAAAGATCATTCTTCGAAAATTTCCCTCGCAAGCTGCCTTTTTCGCGGCGAATCAATTCCTTTTTGTTTCTCAAGAATGTTAAATACTACACCTGGTTTATGAATTCACGCGGATTAGTTTGTCTTCTGAGAGGCGAACGATTCGTGTTTTTTTTTTTTTTAGAGTTTCTATTTGTAACGCGGCTGAAAAGGAAAAATCCACTTGTTTATACTTTCGCGGGGAACCCATCCATTGAATCACGGTGATAATACTATTCGAGCGTCTATGAAAGCGTGTCCTAAACGCGAGGTATCACCTTAAAAGGCTCGATATCAAAGATAGCCAACTGGTCGAGATTCCGTGCTCCATACGTAAACTGAAACAAGGCTACTTTCACACAATAGGCTCTCGGAGAGAAAACATTCTACAGATTGAATAACTCCCAAACTTCAAGCAAACGCTAAATTTCCATTATCAACTTCAATCCAAACTCCAATTACCAATTTCCATTTCATTATCGATAACAATCATGAAAGCACGAAATTTCCACAGCTTCTGCTCAATTCTAATTAAAGAAAAGTATTTGTCAATTGCGTTCGCTTCGTTCGATTGAAAAATACACTTTACTGGTATCAACTTTCTTTCGACGATGAATAATTTTAAAAATCGTGTCGAAATTTATTTTAGAATTCTTCTTCGGAATTTATGTCATAGTCATTTCTTATATCGAAAGATTCCGCGTGTTTTGATACTCGAGCAGATTACAATTTAAAATATTCTATTCGTGCCAAATTCTTGGTAATTTAATCTCTCGCCGAGTTTAACCTCGTCGACTCAGCGAACGTGTTTAATTTATTCTTCTATTTATTTTTCAGCAGCGTCCCGTGAAAATCAATCGAATTCATTCGAATTCGTGCCTGTTCAAATCGCGCACTTTATTTCAAATTTTCAATTCACTTGGTCAGAACGTGCGCCAATTGTTTCCCATTGTAATAATCACCGAAAGGGTTACGTGTATCTCGAGTGATCTCACGCAATCTCGCGGTGTACCTAGTTCTATTGGTGTAACTGTGCCTTCTGCTGTCTGTAAATCGAGTTAGAGAACATCAGCGGCGAATCAACCCTGCCGCTAGACAGCACGTGTCCCTTATCTCGTCCAATAAGCGAACCGACGATATCGGTCGACCCAGGAAGCGTGTGAACTCGTAAAACCAGTGATCCCTATCGCGTCATCGATGCCCGATCGTTAAATCGTAATTGTACAAAGTTCGAACTTCGAGTCTCAGGTTTGATAATTAAGCAGCAAGAGTCTAGACTGTCTATTTTATTAGTGTTTTTGAAGATTTTGAAGCTGTCGAAGCTTATTGTGGAAGGAGAATAATTTTAAAATGAAAGAACAGCAGGTAAGAGAAGATAATAATAAGATAATAATAAATAGAAGATAATAATTTGAAAATAAGGAAATAATAACGTTCGAAATAACAAATTTGAAAATAATCCGAGTTCTCTGATGAAATCATCTTCGACAGACGGTTAAACGCATTGAAAGATGACGAAACGTTTGAGTCATATTGACGTATACATATATCAAATAGAAGCCAGTGCGCAATAATAAATTGAGTTTAGAACCAAAGCTACGAGTAAAATGATGAAAATTTGCAAAATTGAGCGTTGAGTTTCGGAAAGAGAATACGTTTCACTGTAAGTTTATAGACCCGTTCCAGAGACATTTTTATAAATGGTTATCTCTCAGCTATAAGTCGAAAAGCCTGGGTTAAATCGATATCTATGTTGCGTCTACCGCGGCTGCGAGTAGAGGATATATTCTCGGTTATGCTGCTGAAGCATAATATTTTCCTACATTATTATAGTTCATAAATCATCATTCTTTCTTACAACGTCTACAACTACCGCTCTTAAAGTAGAAATTTTAGCCGCGAACTACGCGTGCACGCCTTTGAAGTGGAAATTTTAAACGATGAAAACGTTCGAAAATGCAACAACAAAGTTGAAAAATAAATAATTTAAAAAGGAAACAGAGAGATGAACAGTCTCTCGAAACAGAGAGGCAGATAATCGATAAACGAACCGCGAAAGCTTGATTCGCCGATAGATAATTCTGTTACCTCGCGTTGTTTTAATTATTTCAACTGCAAACGTATAACGTTTCATTTCGAATCGGCTCGTGGCTTCTAATTCGATTGAGAACGAAATCCGCCCGAACGAAATAACAATCAGCCTAATGAAATTTGAAAGCGGCAACGCGGATCGATAAACAGAGCGATATCAATTATGCAAATGCGATGGCGCGGCGATCGAAAGTCAGGTTCGTTGGCCGGCAGAAAATTGAAAAGCAAAAGCGCACGTCGCTTGATTTATGGACTGCATATTCCTAGATGACTGAGAATATTTCCTCGGAGAAATTCCCTCTTAGCTGCGGTATGCCGACTCATGCTATTGGTCGCGTTCCAATATTTTCGTCCGCGTGGATTTCGTATCAACAACATCCTTCGTACGTGTTCTACATTCGAGCAACAACGAGAGTATTGCTTTGCCGTCGAATGTGTTTCGATTGAAATTCCTTTCTCTTTTTTTTTTTTTTTTTTTTTTTTTTTTTTGTAAAACATTTAATATATTAGATATTTCGTTGCGCCGCAACTTATTGTTAGATCGGATCATTTTGCACGATAAAGATGATCAATGATATTTATCGTGTAACATTAAAATGAAATATTAAAACTGCAAGACGTAATAATTTCAATGGAGTAATTTATGACTGTAATGCAAAGATATCGAGAATTTTACATTTTACTCTTTTTTACTTGGTGGTTCGTAACGCTCAATTCTAACTCCATCCCTTCCCAAACCAAAGTACGAGTCTCCAAACAGAATATACTGCTACAGAATTATTAAATTCCCAGACCAAGAACGTGTTATCCAGGTCTTTGAAACGTCAACTCCCTTGAAATGGCAAACGCGCGTATGATCATCGAAATTTCCATGGGGACTCAAAATAACCATCAATCTCTGTCCTCTGAGAAGCGTCCCAGCTCTTAGTACTCAGTACGTCCAAGTACTTTTAATGACGTGAGATGAGAGAGGAACGTGAGAAGACCACGTCGAAACGTACGAGGACAAAGAGGCAGAGCAGTGGGACAATACACGTTATTCCGATCGAGTGGAACGCGGTCGCTGCTCTCCCCAGAGTAAGAGGACTTACCTCTTCAACGAATGATCTCTGCTGTATATTGGTCCAGCACATTTTGCACTGGCACACGTCCTTCTCTTTGAAATTCTCAGCCCTTTCTCTGTCGCGGCTGGCGGTGACCTGGGGCGGCGGAGGCGGCACCGGCGGCGGAAGCGGACTAGTCGCCACCTCTAGGCTATCCGAGCTAGAGTTATGGCGTCGCGGCGGCGTGATGTTCGTCGTTACGTTCCCCTGCGAGGCCTGCTGCTTCGCGTCGGCCGATCTTCCAGCCGAATGGTCGTTGCCACTGCCGGACAACTTTGAGTGCGACGGCGACAGGTAAACGTTCAACATGCACTTGTTGTTCTGCTGCGGCTGAGGCCGCAGAAAGTCGTCGAGGAGATAAAAGCTCTGCGCCCGGTTCGATCGCGTGGTCGTCGACGTGGCGGTGCGCGTATCGGCGCCGATGATCGACTGTTGTTGCTCCGCTTTGCAGATACTCTCGCGATTCGTCCGGCCTCTGCACTCGTCGTCGAACTGATGTCTCACGGTCACGTGTCTCTCCTCCACGTCTCTGTCCGCGCAGTCCGCGGCTTCCTGATACAATCTGCGGCTAACCTTCGACCTGCCGGTCTGACCGAATTCCCCGTTCTCTCTGTAGATGTCCCGAGTCACGCGCGACACGCGGGCCGAGTAGGAGGTGGGCTGCTGGTAACGCGTCGACTTGCAACTCGAGCCGTGCAGATCGTCCCGGAAGTGCTCGCCCTCGATCATGGAGACGCTCATGTTATGCGACAGCGAGTGTTGAACAGCGTGTGAACTAGCGCCGGTCGGAGCCCTCAGCAAAGCACCGAGAGACCGCCACTTCCTGTCTTGCTGCCCGGTCGAGTTCGACGAGACCGACGACCTGGTCCACTTCCTCTCGTTCCCCGGCGAGGTTAGAGCGCTGCTGTTGCCCACCGACCACTTCCGGTCGTTCGTAGGCGAGGTCACCGCCGCCGACGGCCACTTTCGTTCGTTCGACGGCGACGCCATCGAGGTGCTCGACCACTTTCGCTCGGCCGACGAGGCCAGCATCGCTCCGCTGCTCGAGGTGAACGCACGGTCCGAACTGTTCAGCTGGTCCTCCCGTTGCCTGGCCTTCCACCACGACGACGTCGATGTGAAGAGTATCAGAGCACCCCTCAACGGATTCTGATTCTTCCCTGACGCTCCCTTCGGCGAGTGTTCCCTGTCCTTGATCTTCAACGAGAATTCCCTGTAATTGGTGTCGCATTCGCGGTCGCTGAACGCCGACGCGTCCCGGTCCCAAACCGAGGCGCCGCGATCGTTCTTCTGGGCAGCTAGCTCCTCCTCGTAGTGCAACGTTGCGTTCGTGCTACGAAGACGCGGCCGGATTTTCACGAAACCGTAATCGTTGCTGTCCTGAACAGCCTCCAACGCCTCGATCCGATGCTGAACCGTGCCGGTAGACTGTTGCAGCAGCGACGTCTGCCCGGTGGCGTATTGGTGATGGTTGCTGCCGCTCAGCTGCAAGCTCGGCTGCTGCAGAAGCGTCGAGGTCCTCGCCCTGTGTCCCTCGCTAGCTGTGCCGCGTTGCAAACAAGAGAAACTCGCCGAGTGTCGCAGGCTCGAGGGTGGATTTCCCGGTTGACTCACTCCCAACATCTTTGCCTCTCTTTGATATTCAGTCTTTTTGATCTCGAGCGCCCCGGCAGAGAAAGAGAATCTCGAGCGTATCGAGCACGAGCGATCTCTTCTTATTTTCTTCCCCCCCTTTCTTTTCGTTTGTTTTTTCTTTCTCTTTTCTCTTTTTATTCTCCCCTCTCTCTCCCTCTTTCTTTCTCTCTATCTCTTTTTCTCTGTGTGTGAAATCGGACGGAACGACACGTCTCTAGCCGAGTATCATTACTCTGGCGGCGATTCTCGATCCCGGCGTATCTCGGCTTCCTTCGACAACGCGTTCGAAATTGACTGGTCTCGAAATGTAAACGAAAACGTCGACGCCTCGCTGTTCGGTCGTGTGCATCCTCTCGATACGATTCTCGTCAACTGGCAGCCGCCAGACGGCTACGTCATCCTCGTCGCTCTCGGTGCCTTTCGTACCGTGCAACGACCGTTTGTACGAAATCTGAAACAGAAAGTAGGAACAGGATAGGGGCCAGCAACTCAAAAGAAAAAAGAACGGCTACAACAAATCGAAGCGTCGTGAGGCAACGGTCGGTGAAGAAAAAAAAAAAAAAAAAAAAAAAAAA